AGGACAGGATTATTGTGATAATTGTGATTTTTATATTATATATTATATAAATCTTTTACTTATAAATGCTAGGAATAGTGTTAAATATTTAGAATACGTTACACCCAAATAGAGTTCAACATATTTTAAAACTAAATTTTAACTTTTTAGTTTAATATTTTATAAGTTAATTTTCATTAAAAATAATTTTTGAGGACGTAGGATTTTGATCAAGTATAATTTAAATTGTCTAAGGTGCCAGGAAATATATTTATTTTCAACATTTCAATATAGATAGAATAATGTAATTGAATTTAATTTTATATGAAAATATTCAATATAATATAGATATCCTAGTGTTATATCTTTTGTCCTCCAAAAGTCCTCCAGAAAAATGTCTGATTTTACTATCTGTCCCCCAATCTCAGAAAAAGTCCTGGCAACGCTAGTTTCCACTCCGAGTCTCGGGCACTGATAACCATTTTGTCAAACAATGGGTCATTTATAATGAATTTCTATACCAATGATATTGTAGTATAAAATAGTATTATAAACGATTTAATTTGTAAAAATACTGTCATTAAATTATAGTCTTTTGTATAACTACTAATAAAAATCAAGGCATACTAAATCCATTGTTATAATTAACTTTAGCATATACTGTATTTTATATACTACAGTATATAGGCCCCTTTTCCCAGAATTCCATACAGAATATGCAACACATTACTTGAGTGGCATAACTATTGCATAACCATATATCGCATTACACTTACAGTCCTTAATGCCGAACAGGCATTCTTTTCCTAAGCAAGGACTGGGACTTGTGGTATAAATACGAGTCCCATCCCAGCGCTCTCTCTCTCTCTCTCTGTCTGTCTGTCTGTCTGTCTCTCTTCTCTTAGCTTTAGTTTTCAGTTAACTGCCAGCACTGGCTGTATGTCAGTGCCTGTGCCTTAACCTTAGCTCTACCTCTTGAAGTATCCCTAAGAGACTACTTATATGTAATACCAAAGATACTGTGTGTCTAATAAATAGTTTGCACCAAAAGTATTGTCTCATTAATTAATCGACGACTCGACACAAACCCCCAAAGTATTGGTAAAGAGCCCCTTCGGCAACGAGTGTTCGGCAGCCGGCGAACTGGCGCTCCGGTGGGTGGACCTCAATCCTCGGTTAGGTGAGTGCCCGTGCGGGTCAGAGTACAGGTAAACCCTCTATTGTGTACCAATATTCTGTGTGTATAATAATAAGCGAGTGCTTAAGAATATTCGGCAAACACCCCATTTGTTGGTATACACTGTAATACCTTTACTTTTAAAATAACTAACCTGTCAATACATATTAATAAAATTAATGTCTCATAAAAGTATTTTGGACGAAAATAATATAAAATGCAAATAATTTTGTTACATAAATAATCTTTATACCGAATAATTTTTAAAATAAATTAGATTTGTTAACGGATTTATAACACTGTATTTTCAAACCTTATAAAACCCTTATTAGTTAAACCTTCATACAAATTAATAAAGCTTTGTAAATAATATTACTTTGGGGAATAATTGCATATAATTGTTTAATAAGTTTTTAATTTTTAAAATTATATAAAATGTTTATACGACTGACCCGTCTATTAGTGAATATATGAAAATCCTTAACCAAAACCTCGCGAATGAGTTCCGGATCCGAGAGATAGAGAACCGGTTTTCCCAACTCATAGACACCGAAACACTTGCCGTTACGGACGTAGAGATCCCGTTCCCATTCAAACATCTTTTTCGTGAATCGTGTCCATAGACTGACACTCGTTGTCCGTACGCCTTGTTTGCGCCAATAATCGCATTTCGACTCAATATATCTGTTAATAATTATTTTGTAAAATATATAAAGATATTAATGTACTAAAATATTCAGCTAGATTACTTGGAAATCAAATATAATGCGATTCCCAAAATAGCAGTAATAATCAGTGACCATTTAATTATTGATATTTTAAGTATTGTTTGTATTGTTGGCAACATTTTCAAAAAAGTTCTTTTAAATTGATTGTATTTTAATTAAAAATAATATTACTTAATGTTTGATAACAGATTAAAGATAAAGTTTTTTAAAATTTATAACTTTCTATTCAATTAAGTAATAGTTTGTGAATATCCTGTTTGTGGTATTTATACGATTTCTAATGAGTCATATGAATAGAAATAGTGTCGAGCACAGATGACTTTTAGATTATATACTAGTAGTTATTAACAAACCTGGTGCAGTTGAAACCGGTTGCAATTTTAATACAAATACTATTTCTATTATTTAAGGAAATAGGGTCTGAATTTATGTAAATCACCAGGTTAAAAGTTTTAAAGTTGGCAACAATAGAGATATATTTATACCTTATTTCCTGTCAAATCGTTAAGTTTGGCAGAACTATCTGTTTTTTTTTGTTGCTTGAACCTATTGTTAGGAATATTGAATTTGCCTGTCATTGTCTAATATTGAGAAATACATTTTTTGTAAGCACAGTATTCTAGAAATTTGCTTTAAATGAACTAATTTTATCATGGTTAGTTTAAGAATAAATGGAGTTCACAAACACCAGTTTTGTACCATGCATCTTCAATTACCAAATCTAATGTATTTCAATGGAAAAACCTCTTTTTTGCAAACTTAAATGGCACAGTTACCATGGTAGATTTCCATGCAATAAAAACTATTTTTACAATTAACAAAGTAGGGGATATAAATCAGTGAAGGGAGGATTAAGATTGGATTATCCGTTTTGGTGTTATAAATTTCTATTTCGTAAAGTTTCCATTCCATGAGTTTATATAATTTATTTTATATCCCTTAGAAAGTGAGAGAGCTATTTAAATATGATTTCAATTATAATTATTAAATTATTAGTAATTTTAACGATAAGATATTTTAGTATCTTGTTATAAAAATTAATAAAAAAATTAATAATGTATAATAATTTTACACATTTTGAGCTCCCTCACTTTCGGAGGGGTTCGGGAGGCCTAGTAGTCAGTACCGTAGGTATGAGATTTAAGATGAGATTATAATTTTTAAAATTATTATGTTCATTGTACAATCAATTGTTAGTAATTAATTTCTAACTTTAATTAAAATCAGTTGTAACCTATTATTAGTGAAATTAATTATAATAGTATATTACTATAAAATATGTTGTGTAATTTACAATATAATAAATTATTTCTGTTTAATTGAATTTTATACTAATATACAAATTTTTATTTCAATCGCAAATGTTTTTCAAATTACATTTTTTAATAAATCAACGTAACGTTTGCTAAATAAGCATTTCGTAAATATAAGTTTAAAAACGTTTACTAATCCTTAAATCAACAGATTTGGGTTTCATGATACCAGTGGACACACCTAATTCCAAGGGTTTCTGTAAACCAACATAATAAATTAGCAAGTTACTTATTTAAAGTGTAAACCAATTAAAAAATAATACCTCTGTAGCGGAAAAAACATATCGACTAACAAGATTGACCAGGGCTAATTTAATCTCCAACTGAGCTAATCTCATGCCCAGACAATTTCGAGGGCCGGCACCAAATGGTAAATACGTATAGGGATTGTGGGCTATGTTTTCCGATAAAAACCTCTCCGGTCTAAACACCTCTGGATCGACAAAGTTATCCGGGTCTCTGTGTATGGCGTAGGTTGGGATGTGCACCACGTGATCCTTTTTGATGGTAATACCATGTGGGCTATGTTTTCCGATAAAAACCTCTCCGGTCTAAACACCTCTGGATCGACAAAGTTATCCGGGTCTCTGTGTATGGCGTAGGTTGGGATGTGCACCACGTGATCCTTTTTGATGGTAATACCAGGGCCTTTAAGCTCGTAGTCCTCATTGGGGGCCCTCTCAAGGAATATGGCCGAAGGGTATAGCCGTAGGGTTTCGTCGATGACTGCGTCCATATATTTCAATGTGAAAAACGCTTCGTACGGATCGGCACTTGATTGCTGTTATATAATATTTTTTAAAATTATTAAAACAATTTTATATCAGGGTATTTAATTGCATAGTACGCCAAATCTCGATGTAAATATATTACAGTTAACTAACAGTAGGTTAATGTGTTTACATTTCATTGTAATATATTTGTATTAGGAATTGATATTCAATGCAATTAAATAGCTCATATTATATTTAATTAGCTATTTAGCTAGTAAAAATAATTATTTTCAAATTAACCTGCTCCATAAATTTCGTGATTTCTTCGTATAGTTTTTGCTGTACATCCGGGTGTTTAGCGATACTATACAAACACATGGCCAGGGTGGTGGCAGAGGTCTCATACCCGGCTATTAAAAACAGCACACATTGGGATATAAGCTCATCGTTTGTGAGACCTTTAAATTAAAATTATAAACACAAAGTCATCAAACTTAATATAAAATTAACTTTTAATTTAAATATAATATTTTTTTAGACAATTAATACTCACTTTTATCGGTCATATCATCCGTCGGTTGTATTTCCCGATATTTCTCTGAACTCTTACTATCCGTATATTCATCGGACACATCGATAGCTTGATTATTATTTTTCATTGAATCCAACAGTAATTGCAAAAAGTCAGCCCTTTTTACAGGACTTCCGGTCTCTAAACCACGTTTCCTATCGTCGATTAAAGTGAGGGAAAAGTCGCGGAAAAATTGCGTAACTTTTCTATCAAACGGTGATATTTTAAAAGTTTTTGCCACATTTGGGGCTAACATTATGGTCAAAAATTTAACCAAGCTAAATAAACTCGTACTAAACATTTTACGGGCATTTTCTATGATAGGGTTATTCGGTTCAATGAGAGCCGACACTTTCCGGCCGAAAGCCACTTGTATTACAACCTCCATAGCATAGGCTCCGGTAATTCGTTTCATGTCTACCGGTGCCGAGAGTTTGCCATTACTTTTGGCAATGATTTTGTCGATGTTGTCGTTCATAGTGTCCACACATTCAAGGATTAAAGGAGTCATTCGTTTGAGTTTTCCGGTCGTAAATGTGGGCGACATTACTGTGCGAAGCCGTTTCCACTCCGAGTCCCGCGCACTGCCAACCATTTTGTCAAACATTGGGTCATTTGTAATGAACTTCTGTACCGATTATAAAGTATTATAAAATAAAGTATTAAAAAATAATAAAATTTCTTAAAACACTAGTAATAAATAAATAATATTTTTCTGCAATTATTAAAAATAAAAGGCATAATAAATCTATTATTACCATTTGTAATAATTTATTCATAATATGCAGCTAGCGACTTCTCAAATATAATGTATATATTTTTTTGCAAATTATAAGTATTTTTTAAATAATAGAAACTGTAACTAATTTGTTACCAAAATAATCTTGTATACAGAATAATTTATAAAATAAATATTTGATATAATAAAATCTAACATTAGATTCTTTAACGAATTTGTAACATTGATAATCTTTTAGTTATTATTTTGATCAAATTAAAAATCACCCTATTTATATATATTTTAAATAATAGTAAGCTGTAAAATTAGTTAAATTCTTAATTACTCTGTACAACTAGACTGACCAGACGTCCAGCTCCGGGCTGGATCGTCCAGTTTTGAGGGTTTCTGTCCAGTTTTGTCGTAAAAAATTTTCTATTGAAAAGATAGGAATGTCCAGCCTGAAATTTAAAATAGATCGTAATTTTGACTATTTTATAAAAATGTCCAGCTCTAAGCTCAATTTTGAGAAAATGATCTGGTCACTCTATGTACAACCGATGTAATTAATTTTACTTTTGGGAAACAAACGTTGCGTCTAAAGTTATTTTACAAGTTTTTAATTTAAATATATATATATATATATAAGTTTATACGACTGACCCTTCTATTGGTGAATATATGGAAGTCTTTGACCAAAACCTCGCGAATGAGTTCCGGATCCGAGAGATAGAGAACCGGTTTTCCCAACTCATAGACACCGAAACACTTGCCGTTACGGACGTAGAGATCCCGTTCCCAATCGAACCACTGTTTCGTGAGTNCCGGTTTTCCCAACTCATAGACACCGAAACACTTGCCGTTACGGACGTAGAGATCCCGTTCCCAATCGAACCACTGTTTCGTGAGTCGTGTCCATAGACTGACACTCGCTGTCCGTACGCCTTGTTTGCGCCAATAGTCACACTTCCCGTCAATATATCTGTCAATAATTATTTTGTAAAATTTATCCGGTAGATATAAGAATTAATGTAATAAAATATTTGGTTAGATTACCTGAAAATAAAATATAATGTGATTCCAAAAATAACTGTAGAAATCAGTGTCCATTTTATTATTGACATTTCAAGTATCGTTTGTAGCGTTGACAACATTTTAAATTTTTTTAAATTAATTTTCAAAACAATATCACATAAAGTTTAAAAATTTATTCACATTAAAATACTTACAATTATATGCTTTCTATGCAATAATTAAATAGTTTACTATTTATACTATTTCTTATGAAGGTCATAAGATAATAAAATTGACAAGGGCAGTTATATGTTGATATTAAATTATGCAATTTTTATAACTTACTATATCCTATTAAATATAAAAGTTACACATTCAATTTATCAGTAGTTTCTACAGTAATATAATATGGTATTAACCATTAATTATACACAAACTTGATGCACTTAATGTTGATAAATAAGAGGTACTTGTAAAATCCAAGGTTATTTCAGTCTTTATGATAAATACAATATACTATGCATTATAAAACAAATTAAGCATAAACAAACTCGATGTACTTGATAATAATTAGTGATAGAGTATGCCGTATGATCTTTGGCATGCATGACTGCATCGTAAGTAAGTGTTTTTTTGTATTAAGTTTATAAGACTGTACGAATAACATAAATACGAAGGTGTTAAAAAGACCTGTGCTATTTAATTTTATTTTTAAACCATATTATATTTCTAATTGATATTTTGTTTGGTATACAACATGTCCAGAGGATTCTTTTAAATAACTTATAATTTACCAATTAAAAAGAAAATTTTCTAAAATTAAAGTTTCTGATTAATTATAGAATTTTTTTAACAAGTTTTAAAATTTTGTTTGTTTATATAATTTAATTATTATTAGCACCCTTCATTTGCTTATTTATTTGACAAATCCCATCATTTAATTTCACCATAAAATGGCTTAGATTTGTGGTTAGTAATAGTATTATTTAATTTACTGTTATTTAATATAAGACTGTACCTTATTATAGATAAACTAATAAAATAATTATCGGGATGTAAATAATCAAATATTAGCAAAACTCGACATGATTGCTTTTTATTAATTGTACTTTTTAAAAATTATAGTAATATTTTTAAAATAATACATTTCTACATTTGCTATCACATATGTGTTAATTGAATACTAAAATAGCACATTGGGATATTTTTAGATTATCCGTAGTAATATCAACTATATGTTTCTACAACATATGAATTAAAGGATCAAACAGAGCCATATGTCTGAAACTTTGTAATGCTTTGGTTTCGCATTTAATATACAATTTTCAATAGAAATTAGTAATTTTTATGTACTTTAAATATGTTATTTGAAAGCCAATGCATTACTAAGTTTCAGACATATGGCTCTGTTTGATCCTTTAATTCATATAAAGATCATTCAATATTATCTAATTTATTTTGAGTAGGTGTCATGATTTGAGTATGATTTAGCGGTAGTTATTATCTATAATATAATGTAAGTTTTGAGGTATCAATAAAATATTTGAAGAATTTATATTTATTCTAAACTTTTTTAACAAAGTTTATTAATTAGTAATCACATGAATCCTATTATTTGGAAACATTTGCTAATATCTTGTGTAAACCCAAACCCAGAATCGACTTTCAATTATCCGAATAACAAAGTCTTTGCCATTAGCGCCAAACCATAGACCAAACAGTCCTCCAGTATATGACATATAGTCTGTTAGAGACATAACCGGTTCCTTCCGATAGACATACAGGGGTTGTGTTGAGTCCCAAACCAATGCCTTCTCTGTCGTCCTATTATTAACATTCAATTTATGCCACAATTCGTTACCAATTTGTGTATCGCTTGATATGATTCTCGTATTATATTCAGCGGACAAACAATTTTTGGGACAATATTTCAA